AAAAAAAATAAAAAAGAAAGTTGTGTTTTCAAAATTGGAGTTCAAGTTATTTTTCCTTCCAATAGTGTTAACATGCTGCACAGGTCATGAACAAGATTTTTTACACTTTCATTGTACGTGGGCTAAAGCAGCTAATTAAAAGTCGTCTAACATAAATGCTGTAATTTGATTATTTTAATAAACATGTAACTTGGATGATTGGATGCTGGCGTGACCACAGTGCACACGTCTGCTGTTGCTCACAGTGGTCCAAGGGACGCTCAGGGAGTTTGTGTGTTCGCTCAGACACATGAAAAATTAGAGGGAACATTGGGGAGGAGGGCAGCAAAGGGAGGGACATGGGTGAGGGGTCGGGGGTGGGGGGGGGACATATCAGATTATTGATTTGACCACTTCTAAAGTATCCTTAAGTTCTCTGATTGGTTTTCAGCCTACAGATGGCCGTCTGGCAGCTGCATCCAGTTGAGCTTTGTATTCAAATTCATAGTGAAAAGCTATAAAATACAATTCAGCACTGTTAACTTTTGATATTATGTCTGTATTTGTCATGAAATAATAACGGAGCAGGCCTCGCCTGATATTAAACCACTTATTAGTCAGCTGTCAAACAACTAAACAGTTAAAGCTTAAAGGAGACAGTGTGAACCTTTCAGTGTTGTGTCAGCATTTTCTGAAATGTGTCTGACAAAAGCTAAAAGCTGATTAATATGTCAGTCATCTCTTAAACGTTGATGTATTGTTTCTGTGCTGTAGGTTTAAACTTTTGCATTGCTTGCTGACAGTTCTGTTTGTCTTTCACTAAATGACACAAATGTCACATAAATGTATTGTAAGTTTTGGATGTGTTGTTTCATATTTTGTCCCCATCATGTTGACATTGACACTGACGAGGACAGCTGAAGGGCGAGACCATAGACTGAATTTCTGGTCCTGACGTCCGCAAACAGAAAACACTCAGCGCAGTCACTAAAGACGTTTTTATTTCCACTTTCATCTTCATTAACAGCAACTTAAGAAAGGCGTTGTAACGCTGACCATTAGAACACGGCTGCGCAGCCCCAGCCTGACACCATGTCCCACCCCCACCCTCCTCAGCCGTTCCACTTCACCCAACTCTCATACCAGTGGAAGTACACCAGTCCCATCAGGCTTCAACGAAGCTGATGAACGCAGAGGCCCTGGCCCAGGTCCGAAGGACTGCATTGTCATGGAAGTTACACTTAATAAAGGTGAGCTGGTGTGACTGAACCCAGGAACCAGTTCAGGTGTCACTGGATGATTTTCTTATTACCACTGAGATGGTGTGTCTGTGTGTGTGTCTGTGT